TCAAATGGTATAACCACAGAAGAACAATTACAACGTCAAGGGTGGTGGTGCGATGGGGGCAGCGGAGAAGCGCGCCCGCAGCCTGCACGACGGTCTAACCAGCTCGCCATTCGCGCTAAGAAACCCCAAACATCAGATAATATTATATTACGTTGTTATCAGTCCACGATATCTTCATTGAAGTCCCTAGTGACCCTTACAATAAACTTTTTTAGAAAACGGAATAGACAAATGATTTTTATAATCCACCTGATGGTTAGTGGATGCTGTAGTCTATGGGACACCTGCAACTAACTTCAAACAAATAAGGCTTCAGATCTGTGGCGGCGCTGTATCGCACCATAAGCAAAACACACCGAAGCCACTATTGCTCTGAACGAAAGCGAGCAACTCGTTAATCACGAAATTGCAGTTATTATACTTTACTGTAATGCGACAATACAATTTAATGTACTAGACAATAGCGCCGTAAAGAGTCCGCTTGTTAAAGCTGCATACATGCACTTCACACGGTACCGCGCAAACGAGATTGTGTTTAAAGGGCCGAAATAAAAAAATTATAACGAAAATAGATTTAAAATATCTGCATATTTAAAACGTTAATAAATCGAATAAAAGAACCTACAATTACAATTTCATATTAATTTGAAAAAATATTTATCATATAATATTAATTTTTTCTTATTCGTATTTATTAAGTTACCACACTGTTTATCAGATTGTGCTAAAACTTTGTTAACTTATTGCTTGCAATTGCGCGAAGGTCATAGGCATAGTACAATTAATTTAAACTAGATAGCGCGCGTATCGTACCGACAGCTACGCACGTATACGTAATAAGAACGTCCTACATCATGTAAAGTAAATCACGCTATCAAAATTCCAAAGTACTGCGCTATAACATAAAGAACAGCTCTGTACTTAAATACGGAGCGTTGGTCGCTCACCGGGCTGAAAACTGCCCGGCGGGAGATCTCTTTTTATTCCACGGCCAAAGACAAATTTCTAATTATATGGGTAACTAAAGCTCAAAGGTGACAATTGAAATTGTCGCCTCCGAGTTTTAATTTTAGGTACTTGCGCTCTATAGAAAAAAAATATAATAAAATTGTGGTAGTATGGTATAGAGTTGTAGCTCTATACCAGTTTTAGGACCTTACGGTACGTGTACACCAAAACCGATTTTGTCGGCCGATGGCGGACAGAACTACCCGGAAGAGTAATTGCCTAACATTCATTAACTAGTGCCGACATTGGACGTTGCCGGTATTCTTTTCTATTTTTATATTTTCAATATCCACAGTCGTTTAGGGAGATAACAGCATTGACAGAAACAACAGAATAAAGACAAAATGATTAAATTAAACTATAAATATACACTCAATTTGCACTGTAGACGCCGGCAGTCGGACGAGAAATCTCAACAAGTTCGGACTCGACGGTTGATCGGCCGTTTTCATGCGTTATCGGACGATGACGGTCGTTTTGTTGTACGCGTTCTCTTTGTTTTACAAGTGTTTGATTCGATCGTCCGAGTTCGGCCGTTGTCGCCCGAGCAAACTTCGGCCGATGACGAATTTGGTGTACACGAAGCGTTACCGTTGTGAAACGCCTTTGATGTTCGGCGATGCCGCCGCGGCGTCGTAAGTATTTACCTCGTAGGTGCTAGAGGCTGTCACGAAAATGGAAATAAAATGCTTTTTGATATTATGATACTCATTATCATTTATTAACATTATGTACACACTTATAGGTTAAAAACTTTTATTGAACACAATCATTTTGTACTACTACAAGAAAGACCACATTTACAAGTGTTGCACTGCCAAATATTGTAGTTTTCAGTTTTTAATTGTTAAATTAAATAATTTAATGTATACGCATTCGGATAAACAATTTTATCAACAAAAAAATGAGGGAAACATAAGCATGGCCGTCATTTGAATTCAATTTTACTTAGTAACTCATACAACTGTAACAGTAATTCATCATTCTAGATATACTGTTCGAAAACGGCACTAAAAATTAGTTGAATAAGTACTATAAACCACACTCGCGCCAACCGCATGTATTGTCTATCAGACTCAGTGAAGTGCGCTAGCACAAGGTCGGCCCGCCCCCTGCCTCGCAGTAACCCCACCGTCGCCCTGCACAAGCAGGTACATTCGTTTCCTAACTGTAAGGTCTTTAAATTGTGTGTATACACATACAGCAGAAATTGCACATTGGCGGCAGCAATAAGAGTGTACCTACCCCTTACAAGAGCCCCACGGCCTTCTAGGCAATATCACTTTCTAGATTATTAGGTGCCTAGTGTAAATGACACAAACAAGTTAATGGTAATTAATTAATTTATACTTTTTTATAGAATAGGTAAGTGGATGCGGTGGCCCATAGACATCTACATTAATTTCTCCTCGAATAACAATCAAAACGCAGACGCGTTGTCACCCCTGAGTAATAAGATGGAATGCCTCTTTTTTAGTTAAAAAAAGGGTCTCCGGATCTCTACACTCACTATAAAAAACACAGCAGTATTAAGCTACTATATATTAAGCTGGTGTTCTGTGAGGGCGTGGCCCTTCCCCGGTCGAGCCGACCCATTCGTGCTACAACCATAATGTAGCTGCAGCGTAGCTCTGCCACGTTCTAAAGTTATTGTACAATTATGCCGCACAATAGCTGCGGTTACGGTCAGCACGTGCAAGCAAGTACCTCCGTTTAAGTAATACAAAAAAGGAAGGATGTAGGTTACAGAAGTACGAATATTGCTACATAACAAAAAATGTTGTTGCGTTATACGAGAATCATATAACAGCAATCATAGAATACTACAATACATATATAATAGAACGGGGGGAGTGGGCGAAACCCGTGTAGCCATCAAAATGTCAATTCACACGTATAACTGTCAACACGAGATGTGTTTTGACGTTACAATCGTTTCCAAAAATCGCATGCAAATTATTAAAAAATGCCAAATTGCACGCTATTTACAAATAAATATGTATTAAAATTTAAACGATTTTTTTAATGATGATCAAGTCTAAAATGTTTAAATTTACTGTCTGTCAACACAGCGAATCGGGATTGTAGTAGCGATAATACGACGACTTATATGTGTGCTCCCGGTGACGCCGATTCTCGTACAAAATAAGGTTGATAGCCATTCTGTTGTACTGCGGGCTGTTCGAAAGTGATACCGCGGCTGCGGAACGTAAGGGCACTGAAGGAACACGGATGGTTTTTAGTCAGTAAAAGTCTGACACTGCCTTACGCTCCACCCAGAGCGAAAGGGGTCATTAGATGATATCCATCCGCAAAAAAAAAAAAAAAAAAAAAAAAAGCCATTCTGTTGTGTATTATAGTATTCTATGACAGCAATCAATATACTGCTGTGTTCCATATGGTGAGTGTAGAGAACCGGAGACCCATTTTACTAGATGCGAGGAATTTTCATTGCATTCGGCTCGACCAATTTTGATAAAAAATTTAGTGTGCGTTCGAGTGGATCTAGAATCTAGATGGATCACAATGGGAGCCGGTAGGTGGCGCTGTTGTCGAGTTCCAGAGGTCACCCACGCAAAGCCGCAGCGAATCGCTAGTACTTTAAAATTAAAGGAATTAAAAAAGTAAAAAATATAAATAAAACTAGAAACCGAAAAACTTTTATTTAAAACGCAACTTCAATGATGTTGACACTGTATGACATCTGCGTAACGATTTTTTTATAGTATTGAGTGACAAACGAGCACAAAGTCCAACTAATGGTAAGTGGATGCTGTGGCCCATAGACATCCACATTTATCCTCGATTAAGACTCAAAATGCACATGCGTTGTCACCCGTGAGGATTAGGATGTATCACCTCGTTTCCAGTAAAAAGGGTCTCCAGTTTTCTACACTCACCATACTAAACACAGCAGCGTTACGCTGCTATTTTACGATGGTATTTCACTAGCGACGCCTGGTGAGCGTAAAATTACTAACCCTCATTGTGAACCGATTTTAATAATTCATTTTAATAAACACGCTACACCACAAGTTCCCGTTTAAGTTGCAACATTTAAACGTTTATCACCTTCATTATTTATATATTTTCTTTTGTGTAATTTTATAGAATGTGCTTCCGTGCACCAGTTTTTCTAAAGTTACGTTTATCTACTTATCCAAAAAAAAGTTCAATTCACGTTGACAAAGTGCACACATAAATGACAGTGTTTTCTCAGTCACATTAAACAAAACCAGTGTTAGATTGTCGAAAACATAGAAAACATATAATACATATATAATAGAACGCGGGAGTGGGCGGAGCCCGTGTAGCCACTAAAATGTCACTAACATGTCGATTCACACGTATAAATGTCAACACGAGATGTGTTTTGACGTTACAATCGTTTCCAAATTTCGCAAGCAAATTATTTATAAAATGCCAAATTGATTGAATTAAAATAAAAACTAATACACCCAAGTATGGAATTAAGTTTTATTTAGACTTAATTTTAGTTATTACCTTGAGCTTATCATTATTAAGTACATTACTTATCATTGTTAAGTACACCCACAAGAGCCACTTAACTAAACTTAAAAAAGATAAGACCGAAATCAAAAAAAAAAAATACTTTCCTGCTTCCGAATTCAGACTATTAAAAGTTATGTGGAAATTATTTAGTTTTTAAAGATTCTTTACTTTTTTTTAAGTTAAATTATTATTTATCTGTTACAAAATAAATTCAAACGGCGGATTTAATGTCTTATTATATACATATGGTATTACCCACTGCAAGTACAATCCATGGAGTGGAGAAAATTTGACAAGTAATAGTTCAACTGCCTGAGAACCCAATCAGTTGCGATCTCGTCCGATTGATTGAAAACTCGATCGTTTGAGGTCTCATGCACCCGTGCGATAGTCAGTCACAAACAGGTAGATCGTAATAATACCACGGGTCGGAGGATCTCATTATGTGAGTCCCCCGTGTTCCTCGTGCCCAGTGTCCCCTACGCCCCGTGTCCTATCGTGTCCCCTGTTCCCCGAGCATCAGCCGTGTCCCGAGTGTCCGCTGTGACCCCCGGGTCCCCAGTGCCTCGAGTATCCTCCGTGCCCCTCTTGCCCCCTCTGCCCCGCTTACCCGTCGGGCCGCCGTGTACATTGCTGCGGTGCATGTGCAGAGAGTTGTTGGCTTTGAACCGCGCCGGGCATAGCGAACACTGCGAAGATACACAGTGAGTCACCGCACACGTACAATACCAGCGTAAGAACACATCATAACGCTGAAGGGTTCCTTACTTTATAAAGAATAAGGGTGACAAATAAGCACATGGTACACCTGATGGTAAGTGGATAAAAAAAAAATATTTTTCTTCACAAAACTTACATTTATTACATAGTTGATTGGATGCTGTGGCCCATACACATCTACACCTGTACTCGATTCAGAATGTAAACGCAGATGCGTTGTCACCCGTGAGGACTACGATGGAATGCCTCATTTCCAATAAAAAGTGTCTCCAGGCCTCTACACTCACCGTAAGAAAAACAGCAGCATCTATTTGCCATTTCACGCTGGTATTCTGTGAGAGCGTGGTCCGTGACAGATTATTTCTAATCAGGGGTGATAGCTCATCTACATTTTGATTCTTAACCGAGAATTGATGTAGATGTGTGCGGACTTACCACTTACCATCACGTAGACTGTGTACTTGTTTTTTTTTAAATAAAAGCAACGGTGCCGTTGCTTATATTTAAAAAAAAATAAAAGCTTGATGTACAGGTAACAGTGAAACATATGCGAGCAGTTTAAAAAAAAAAACAAATAAAAATAATGCATGATGCTTCAAGGTTTCATTATTTCCCGTAGGTAGGTTTTTTTATACATTAGGGAGCAAACGAGCATGCGGCTCACCTGATGTTAAGTGGCTACCGCCGCCCATGATCAACCGCAACACCAGGGGAATTGCAGGTGCGTTGCCGGCCCTTTAGAAAGGAGTAAGCTCTTTTCTTGATAGTCCCTAAGTTGTACCGATCCGGAAAATCGCCGGTGGTAAACAATTCCACAGAGAAGCCGTACGAGGGAGAAAACTCCTAGTAAAACTCACTAGGTAGGTTTTAGCTGATGTAAATCCAAAATTACCGCGTGGTGGCAGTGTAGAACCCACTGAACCCACTGAACCCTACTCATCCCGCGGGTGTCGTAAGAAGCGACAAGGGAAACAAATCAGGAGTTCGTGTTTTATATGCGAACCAGTGATAAATGAAAAACCCGACTTTCAATAAGTATTGTTTATAATCTACATTGAATAAAAAACTCCACATTGAATAACAGGAGCTAGTGTCCTCGGCCGCTAGCAGTCGACTTAAAGAGTTATGAAGAATCGAGCTTAATTTATTGTGTGCACCGCAGTGCCCGTTCAAAAGTTAACATAGAAATCTTTGTTAATACCCGGATACACAGTTTGTTGGTAGCAAGAAACCGTTGGTAGCCTAGTAGTAGTAGGTTGGTAGGTGTCAGTGAAGTCACAAAGCTTCAACTGAAAACCATGTTACAATTATAATAAACTCATGTTAATGTCAATTTAATTATACTAAACAGTTATATCAACAGCAAATAAAATATGTTGTTATAGCGTTAGAAAAATTATTAATATAGATCAAAAATAATAAGGGGCCTAGAATACCGCCTTGTGTTACACTATATCGAACTAGACCACTTTCAGATGATTAAATCTTTTCTGTTTTATGATTAAAAGAAATGTTACTTATACCTATGTGTTATTTGTATTCTACTAGATAAGTTCGAACTCATTAAGTTTAGTGTGTTCCCTCTTTACAGAGCGGTTGAAAAGTTCGCGGCCTGAGGTACTTAACGATGAGTAACTAGCTTGTTACTACGTACAAGTGCAGATAGTGAGGCTGTTCGCAGCATTATGCCGACACCTGTTTGATGTCACATTCTGTTTTGTTTGTTTAGCTCAGTGGTTAACGCTCGCTGTAAATATAACAGAACGCGAGTAACCCGGGTTCGATCCCCCGCCGGCACCAATGAAATTGTTAATTGCAACTTTAATTGCATTAAAGTTTAATGATTTACCACGTGCTCGGCGGTGAAGGAAAACATCGTGAAGAAACCTGCATATCTGAGGAATAAGAAAAAAAATATTTCGAAGACATGTGAAGTTCGCCAACCCGCATTGGGGCAGCGCGGCGGACACTTGCTAGCCCTAAAACCCTCTCAGAATTAAGGGGAGGCCTGTGCCCAGCAGTGGGACGTATATATGTATATAGGCTGTAACTTTACTTTTTTTTACTTTTACTGCTTTTTAATTGTTAATGCAATTACACTGGTGAGTGCATATTTTAATCCATTTCGTTAGTATATTTGTGTGTATAAAACCAATAGTATTTCCTTTCTTCTCACGATGCTCACCGTGTACAGCCTGTCGGTGCGGTGCGAGTGCTTGTGCTGTGCGAGCAGATAGGCTGCATGGAAGTTCGCTCCGCACCGCTCGCACACGAACGGCTTCTCGCCGCGGTGACGTCTCTCGTGGTTCTGGGACCAAGCACACGATATTATAACGATATTACGATTTTAAAACAGGAGGCTTCTACTGAGCTTAAAGGATAATTTGCTTGCACTGAAGACATGAATAACTATTTTTAAAATTTTTGTCCGTGTTCAACGTAATTTAGTTGGCATCATCGATAACAGATGGCGTTGGGCAGTGTTTGTGTCGCGATGTGGTTTGACCAACACGGCTTGCTTAAGGGCCGTAAAATAATCTGAATAATGAGATTAAAAATGTACCGTACCGTGTATGTAACGTATATATACGTAAATTCAGTAGGCATCTTTGTCCTTGTCACTTGACTGGCAGGGTCACAGGCTCTAGGGTGGATATCATTTGAACTTCGATAGATTTTAATTAATTAATTTACTTAATTCAAAATGTTTGTTTTTACTTTTTGTAAAATATCGGTGTATATTAACATGTAATACTCATAGGTACAATACGTATAATAAACATAGGTTTCTACTCCGTTCACATATCACACCCTATTTTTTTCCAGACGGTGAAAAAGGTCACCAGTGTAATCCACGATTTTATAACTTACCGATTTATATCAAATTAGTCGGATTAGTTAATACATTTTTATTCGATAAAATGACTTTACCTATAGAATGAAGTAGATGGCGCTATTACAAAGTAACGATAATTAAAAGAAAAATCTCTTTTATTTAGTGTTATTACACTAAACTTGAGACTCTACAGTCTACATGTTTATATTTGTAACACTTATTTGCAATAAAATTAAACTTTTATTTTATGCTGCACTTATGATTGAAAATAATCATATTTGATCAATCATTTGCCGTGATATATTTTTACTTTGTACAATGGAGGGTCCATTGTACAAAGTAAAAATATATCACTAATCTAATGTCTAATCCGCCCCCCCCCCCCCCCCTGTAATCCGACATGGTCTATTATTTATTATTGAATATTTTTGACAATCTTCGCTAACACATGATTAAACAAGTTATAACTTATACGCCCCACCACTATTGTGCTCGACGCGTAAGATATCGTTTCGATTCTGATAGAAAAATTTGATTCTCAATATGGTTAAAAGATCATAATTTTCCTCAAAAAGCGTTATTGCTTCTTCATAACGCTCTTAAATTGATTGATTCATAATTTTTGATTATTTTAGTACATATGTACATTTGTTTGTACGCAATTATTTCCTGATGTAAAGTTATTGCATATGTTTTGTAAGTTCTATAGCTTTGATGACGTTCATTTTATAATAAAACGTGAGCTCTCCATTGTGTTATTTAATTTACTAAATTTGACATACATAATGAATATGATTTGTACTTCAGAATACACATATATATATATATATATATATATATATATATATATATATATAAAATCTTATCATTGGATCCGTAATTTCTATGATTACAAGGTACCCTTTTGTAAAAAATTCCGAACTATAGGGGTCTTAGGCAATACTCTATAATCGGACAAATTCGATAGTCCGACACTGCCCTGCAAAATGTTTGTCTGATTACCGGGGGTCCACTGTATTTCATTTCATTTGAAGATTACACTTCTATCGCTGGTGACACGTCTATTTTTTAACGAAAAATAGGTAGAATAATTGTTCGTTGATTATTCTCAAATGTAAATAATACCACATTTATAGATCCTATCCAGGCTAAACCAGTTTATACCTTAGTATTGGTCTTTATTTGGTCGCAGTTTAGTTAGTCGGGAGAGTCAGACAGATAAAATTTTATCAAAATGGTTATATATGTCCAAATTTTGATGGCTCATGATCAGTGGCTTACCTATAAATTGCAGCGCTAAGGGCCGCGGGTTCGAATCCCGCACGAAACAAGCATTTGTATGGCCTACAAATAATTGTACCGGGTCTGGATGTTTGTCCTTGTGCAATTTATGTTTGTAAACTGCCTCCACGATACATGAGAAAGTCCTAGTGTGGAGGTAACGTTTTTCTTTTAAAGAAAATAATAAGAAAAAATAATAATAAATAACTCCTTAAGCTTAATATATTTATATAGAATATAGAAGCGAGTTATTTCAATATTATAGACAGACGCTCCAATTTTATTTGTATGTATAGATAAAAAATGTTATCTAAAATACATGTTTTTTTCTAAAACTTGCTTATCAATCAGAATTTTTTGAAATCTGGCAACACCGTCGCCGGCAACAGTATTATTGAACGAGTGACGAGCGAACAAACGAACAAACGCGTGAAAGCTTCACACAAGGGTCTCGTAGCGCACGCAACACTAGCGCAGGATTCACATTTGAAAGCACACACAGAAATAACGCGGTAACTATTGATACCGACACGGGCATCGTATGATCCGGATCACACATAATACGGTATTGGGTTTTTACCGGTGAATTCTTGGTATTAGCCCACGTGCATGTGTCACGTGTGAGTGCGCGTTCGTATGCGTGCGTGAGTGCGTGCGTGCGTGTGCGTGTGCGCGTGCGCGTGCGCGCGTGTGTGTGTGTGTGTGTGCTTGCGTGCGTGCGTGCGTGCGTGGGTTAAGTGTGATGACCCCTGTAATATCTGCTTCACAAGCACTCATAAGAATTAGGCCGTGCGTCATAGCACGGGTTGCTTAGTAAGATATATTTTAATATAAATACTAGGCTAAGTTAACTGTAAGACGGATTAGTTTTGGAAGTAATTATAAGCTGTAACGCTGCTACTTTGTATAAATAAATTATTTTTTAAATAAAGTCGTTGTCGTTAACTTAATTAGTGCGCGTTCGTGTGTGTATGTGTGTGTGTGTGTGTGTGTGTGTGATGTGTGTGTGTGTGTGTGTGTGTGTGTGTGTGGCGTGTGTGTGTGTGTGTGTGTGTGTGTGTGTGTGTGTGTGTGTGTGTGTGTGTGTATGTGTGTGTGTGTGTGTGTGTGTGTGTGTGTGTGTGTGTATGTGTGTGCGTGTGTGCGTGTTTGCGTGTGTGCGTGCACGTACCCGTGCTGGTGTAGGTACGTGCATGCATGCGCGGTGTGTGTGTGTGTGTGTGTGTGTGCGTGCACGTACCCGTGCTACATGTAGGTACGTGCATGTTTGCGTATGTGCGCGTGTGTACGTGTTTCCGTGCGGTACCGTCAGGGCGAGGCGGCTGGCGGTCTGGAAGTGGCAGACTCCGCACTGCAATTTGTCGTGGCCGTGGCGCGCGCGGCAGTGCTCCAGCAGCCGCAACTTGTTGCCGAAGCGACGTCCGCAGTGCTGTGCAAGTGTTCATTATCATTATATTCATCATCATTATCATTACAACCTTTCACAAGTCCACAACTGAACAAAGGTTTACCCCAAAGAATGTTTCTATATAAAATAAGGGTGACAAACGAGCACTCAGTCCACTTGATCATAAGTAAACTCCGTAATAGACATCTACATCTATCCTCTATTAATACTACTTCATGCTGGTATTATGTCAGAGCGTGGTCCTTCCCTAGTCGAGCGGACCCATTAGTCTTCAACCACAATATAGCTGCAGCATGGCTACATATAAATAGCATGACCACATACAAAACCAATCCTTATCTCTACTTCCTGCACAGATTACCTCCTAATAGATTCCGCATACCGGACCACAAACGCGCGCAACACATACTTGCTGTAGCTAGCATACGAAGTAACGCTAAGAATCACGATATCAGTGTCGACCAAGTTTGTGACCCGTAGGCACGTCCGCGTTTTTGAAAATTTAAAAATAATTTTGTGTCCAAAATACATTACAAATGGCTTCCTATGCTGTGAAATGGTGTGGCAAGTCAGCTAAGACATCTAGTTATCAAAAAGATGGCATAATATTTCATCGGTAAGTAAAATTTATTCTTATCACGTTAACCTATTTCAAATGCACTGGAGTTCAACTTACACTGGATATATAATCTCGCAAAGTGATATCATTTGAGCACCCGTTGATGTCTTTTTGAAATGTCCCTTTCACTCATTACGTAAATTAAAATAGTTGTCTTTGTCTAACGACAGCACGTGTATCGATAGTGTTGTGATTTTAAGTCGATATTTGTTTGGTCACCGTTTACTTTTTTAAACCAAGCATACCACTGGAAGACTTCAAGATACTGAAAGTTCGTTTTATGTAGATCGGGACCTAAAATCAATATTCAAAAACTGAAGATAGCCGGGCTAACTGTGATATTGAGATGTCAAACATCTCAGTCCCCCTGCCCCCCGTGACCATAAGTTAATTAAACGCGATAAAATCCATATAATTATATAGTTTTATTCAATGTGTAGTGTTCGCGTAAATTATATATATATATATATATATATACATATATATATATATATTTGTACATGTAATCTAATTTCTTAAATTTACGCGAACACTACACATTGAATAAAACTATACAATTATATGGATTTTATCGCGTTTAACTAACTTATGGTTAAATTAAATTTTTAATTTAACCATAAGTTAGTTAATCGCGATTTTTTTTAATTATTAAAAAATTATTACTTTGTTATAGTCATGTTATAGCTTATTAATGCTATGTGAAATCGATAACCGCATCTAAATCGGTCAAGCCGTCTCAGGGAAAAATTCGCTACAACGAGTGATCGTTTTTTATTGCAACGCGAGTCAACACCATAACACATATCTAAGAACCATTGTTAACAACTACAAACTATTGAACTACAAACCCTTACAGAAAACGGTCAAACCGTTTGGAAGATAAATGGGTACATAATTTTGCACAAATATGTTTATTGCAGCACCCCCTTAGTAAATTAATATTATAAAACCTATCCAATAAGTTATAACTATCCGCCTGTGAATCACAAACCCTATAGAGAAAACTGTATCTAAATTCTTTAAACAGTTATGGAAATAAATGGGAACATTCCTTTCCACACACACACAAATAAACAAACAGACAAACAAACAACCTCTCACCGTTCCGTCATAGGTAATAACAATTTATGATATATTTTTGTATTAATAAATAATTATTTAAGCATATCCAGTGTAATTAGAGTAACAGAACCTTGCTTCAAATGAAATCTGTATGAAGGAAGGAATGAATGAGCCTTTTTTGTTTTTATCTGTGGATGTTATTTAAACTAGTATTATAATATCTATAATATATTATATAAACCTTACTAATGGATCCTCGGATAGTTTTTGTTTTGCAATAAGCACACGTTAAGATTCTTGTATTAACGTTAACAATTGTATCTAACCTAGATATTTTAGTACTGATTTAAACCAGTACTAAAACTACTTAGACGAGCGGTAAAAGTAATATTAAAAATAATAATGAAAAAGTAGGCAACGAAAAATAGTAAAATAACAATTACTTTAGTACATATTACTTTATGGTGTACATTAAAGTAATAATTATATATTTGGCAAATTTTTGCCAAAGATTCCTCCACAACCACACGTTATCACACCCGTATGTAAATGCGTTCTGAAAGAGACCTATTTTCCAATACATGAATCAACTGCTTAAAGACGGCTCGGGTTCTCCATTATTAATTGGTTAAGAAACGTATTTTGTGAGCGAGTGAAATCGGCGTATCTTGGAATCGGGTCGACTGTCTCTATGCAACTGTTGGATTAGGCAACAACTACTTTGGTATTCGTCCATCTCTCTGTCTTATATATATATATATATATATATATATATATATATATATATATATATATATAAAAATATTCTTTTATTTATATACAATGTTTTACTTTTTAATAAATTTCAAATAAAAATTGATCAATTCATTATTTATCAATAATCAATAAATCCCAAATTTATCGATCAACATCCTAACCCTGTCCCATCACTATGGTTCGGAGCATTCTAAGTTCAACCTTGAATTATCCAATCACAGCGCATTTGACACGTCCCCCGCAACTCGAAATTTGGTGAAATCGAAACAGAACAAATATTCCATGATGCGGTATCTATTAGGAGGTAATCTGTGACTTCCTGCATGCCCTACCATATCATCACTCATCTAGCGGGCGGTGATATAATATTGTATTAGGCAACAATATCGACAACCGTAGGAGAATGATTTCTTATATTTACGCGAACACTACACATTGAAATAATACTAGTTTTTACGGAATTTATCGCGTATATTTAACTTTTAATACCCGACGTTTCGAACGCTTTACAGCACTCATGGTCACGGGTCCTGCCCGCGATAATAATATAATAATAATAATAATAATAACTAACGGAGCGCATAGACGACCTGAAGCAAAAGATCGCTGCTTGGGGGAAGCGGATTCGACGATTTACCGACAGGTCAAGGCGGTTCAACCAGAATCGTCTCTTCCAGAGTGATCAGAAGAGGCTCTATAAATCATTGGAGCGACCAAAGGTATGTGGAGCGGGCCAAGGACCGGATCAGGCAGACATTATCGCATTCTGGCGTGGCCTGTGGTCAGAGCCCGTAAACCACAGCGAGGGCCCTTGGATGGAAGTTGTGGCGAGCCAGGGTGCGAGTGTTACGCCTATGGACCCCATCACCGTAACGCCGGAAGACGTGGCTGAGGCGGTCCGTAGGGCCCCGAACTGGAAAAGTCCGGGGCTCGACGGGCTGCATCATTACTGGCTGAAGGGGTTCATAGTGTGTCACGCTGTGCTCGCCCGACAGTTTCAAGAGGCTCTCGACCAGAAGTCGCTCCCGAGCCTCTTCACTACTGGGATCACTCACTTGGTTCCTAAAGATCAGGATACCACAGACCCGAGCAAATACCGCCCCATCACGTGTCTACCCACCATATATAAGACACTGACATCCATTTTGAGCGCGAGAATCACTCGGCACCTGGAGCTAAACCAGTTGATGTCGCGCGCTCAAAATGGATGTCGGGGCGGTGGTCGTGGAACCAAGGAACCACTCCTCATTGACGCGGTCATTGGCAAAGTGGTGAAACGCAACCGTCGGAACTTCTCTGCCGCCTGGATAGACTATAGAAAGGCATTCGACTCGGTGCCCCATACATGGCTAAAGAGGGTCCTCGAGCTGTACAAGATTGACTGTACAGTTAGAGACTTCCTCGAGCAGTGTATGGGGCAGTGGAGTACGATCCTTTGTCATCTGGGCGAGCGGATGATGGCTGCGGAGAACCACATAAGGATAAGAAGGGGTATCTTCCAGGGCGATTGTCTGAGTCCAATCTGGTTCTGCCTCTCAGTACCTTACTGGAGGGCTCCGGGAGGGGATTTCAGCTACGGAGAGGAGGGACAAAAGTGACCCACCTTTTCTATATGGATGACCTCAAGTTATTCGCCTCCAGTCGCTCCCATCTTATGGAATTGCTAAACATCACTTGTGAATTTAGCAGTTCCATTGGAATGGAGCTGGGGACGGATAAGTGTGCGGTCCTCCATGTTGAAAGGGGAAGGGTTGCTAACTCTGAGGGCATAGACTTGTCTATGCCCGTCAACTTAAGGACCCTTTCCGAGGCTGAAACATACCGATACCTGGGTATGTCACAGAACATCGGTATCGATGAGGCTGGTATGAAACAGTCAGTTTGCGACGTGTTTTATGCACGCTTGACCAAAGTGCTTAACAGCCTTTTGTCCGGTGTGAATAAGGCACACGCATATAATGGCTGGGTCATGCCTGTCCTCATGTATACCTTTGGCATACTCAGGTGGACTCAGACTGAGCTTAACGCCCTGGATAGAAAAGTCCGCACTACCATGACGTCCCATAGGATGCATCATCCGAGATCGTCGGTAATGAGGCTGTACTTGCCGCGAAAGCATGGTGGGCGTGGCTTTCTGAGCGCGCTCACCATGCATAATCGCGAAGTGTGCAGTCTCCGTCAATACTTCCTGGCGAGATCGGATGATCCATTCTATAATGACGTCATTTCTAGTGATAAAGGGCTTACCCCTCTATCCTTAGCCAACGAGCAATGGCAGGACCCGGCAGTGCTTAGCATTCCCGACCGGGAGACCGTATGGAAGGAGAAGGAGCTCCACGGGAGGTACTACAAGGCTCTACATGAGCCCTTCGTAGATACAGTCGCCTCCCTCAACTGGCTACGTTTCGGTGACCTCTTCGGGGAAACCGAGGGTTTTGTCTGTGCAATACAAGATCAGGTTATTAAGACCAACAACTATCGGAGATACATCCTAAAGGATGGCACCGTCGACGTCTGTCGAGCTTGTCGCCATCCCGGGGAGTCACTTAGGCATGTCATCTCCGGTTGTTCGGCGCTTTCTAACTCTGAGTACTTGCACAGGCACAACCTAGTAGCCAGAATTCTACACCAGGAGCTCGCTCTGAAATACGGTCTCGTGGACCGGAAATTGCCGTATTACAAGTACTTGCCGGAAGCCGTGCTCGAAAATGACCGCGCCAGGCTCTACTGGGACCGGGCCATCATCACAGACAGGACTATTCTTGCGAATAAGCCTGATATTGTGCTGATGGACCGGGCACAGTCAAGGATATTTTTGGTCGATATTACCATCCCGTATGACGAGAACCTCGTGAAAGCCGAAACAGATAAGCAAACAAAGTATCTGGACCTGGCTCACGAGGTGACCGACATGTGGGGTGGTCTGCCGACCGAAATTATTCCTGTAGTCGTCTCTGCGAATGGGCTAATCCCAGTTAGCCTCTCGGGTCATCTGAGGCGGCTGGGACTACGTGACGGACCGCTCCGGGCTCAAATGCAGAAGGCGGTGCTCCTTGATACTGCCCGTATCGTCCGCCGGTTTCTTTCCCTTTCCCCCTAACCCTCGGCCGTTTGGTCTCCCCTGCCGAGGGCCTCCATCTGGTTGGGCTTTTATTTATTTATGTATTTTTGTATTTATTTTATTTTATTGATATTTATGTATATTTATCTTTTCATTTTCATTTATAATTATATATTTATAGATCCCAACCAGATGAGAAAACTATATAGATACCCCACATAATAATAATAATTATAATTCTTTATTTAAATCACAAGGTATTTTAACATAAATAAGTGGCTAGAGCCTCCCTTTAAGCACAGAGCGCCTGTAGTAGGAGGCTCCGCTCTTCCACAACTTCACAAACAAAATCATTGAAATACTTTTAGACAACTAATATAAAAACGTGCATGCTTGTGTGGTGTGTGTGTGTGTGTGTGTGTGTGTGTGTGTGTGTGTGTGTGTGTGTGTGTGTGTGTGTGCGTTGGTTGTGTGTGTGTGTGTGTGTGTGTGTATGTGTGTGCGTGCGTGAGTGCAAGCGTGCGTGCGTGTGTGTGTGCGTGCTGTACTTATTTGAGTATTCATATGAGCGACTTTTCAAGGAGAGACTCAATTTCCTCATAATCAAGTGGTTGTAGATACTTTTTTTACTGCATTTTTACATTCGTAATGGGTCATTGTGTAAATTCCTACATGTTTATTAATTTTGTTGTATAATTCTGCTGCGCGTTTACTATACTGAACTCTAGCAAAAAACGTGTGAGTATTGGGAACTTGTGCTACTAATTCTTTTCTCCTCTTTTGTAAAATATTTGGATTAAAAGATAGGGACTTATGTTTCTTTAATATTGTGTGCAGTACATAAATTTTTCGTACTGATAATAACTGTGTTTCATTGTAAAGACTTGTAGTAGGATATCTTCTGTTTTTAAAATACATATTTTTAATTAAACCACGTTGCGCACGTTCCAAGTGGATAAATTTTGTTTTGCAAGCACCCCCCCCCCCCCATATAGATATACAGTACCCCAAAACGGATTGTACCAAAGCTGTGTATATATCGTTTAATAATTTGTTTTGCATAAGTTCAGTGGACGCTTTTCTTGGCACCACATGTCTTAAGGTACGAAATATCCAATTTAATTTAGCAATTCTGTTAGATACATGTTCTATGTGAGAATACCATGACAATTTCTGGTCTATTATTACACCTAAATATTGTGTATATGTTACTTTATTTATAAATGGACAGTTATTATTAAAGGCGCAGTTATTTATGTTGTTACACGTATGAATCCTTATATTGAAATCTTCCGAGGGTTGCGTGCGTTTAGATATACTGAAACAGATATAATTAGTTTTTGCTGCATTAAGGGTCAGTAAATTCAAATTTAACCATTTTGCCACCTGGGCCATCCCAAATTCTGCCCTTTCCTTAACTTCTTGCCACGATTTACCTTTAAAGATAACTGCTGTATCATCAGCATACGAAATTATTTGTGCGTTTTCTATTTTTAAGTTGCACAAATCGTTTATGTAAAGCAGAAACAAGGAAGGCCCCAATATACTGCCCTGTGGCACACCATATGATATAGTTGCGTCGTCACTAATAAACTGGTCAACTTTTACACATTGATTTCTATTGGAGAGGTAGTCTCTAAAAAGTTTAAGGGCAGTACCTCTTACTCCGACTTTTTCCAGTTTATATAAGAGTAGGGGGACAGAAACCGTGTCAAACGCTTTCATGAGATCTAAGTACACAGTTAAGCATTTTTGACCTTTATCTAAGTCATCAACCACCAATGATGTCATACGAGCAACTGCATCCTCACTAGATTTGCCATGCCTAAAACCAAACTGATAAGGAGATAATATATTAAAAGAATTTAAATAATTAAGAAGTCGAATATTAATTAATTTTTCAAGTATTTTTGATATAGCTGGTAATATTGATATGAGCCTATAATTACTGATGTTGCCTCTGTCCCCTCCCTTAAATATTGGTACAATAGAAGATTTTTTTAGTTTCTCCGGGAAAACGCCTTTTTCAAAACATAGGTTAGTGAGGTGGGTGAAAATTGGTATCAGTTCGTTCTTGGCATACTTTAAAAATCTAGTGGAGATCCCGTCCCAACCAGGGGCACTATCAGTCTTTAAATTCATTAATATGCTCTCCACCTCACCTGTGTCCGTATTTAATAGTACAAAGGAATTAGACTGTGTAGGCAAGTTATGATGTTGTATGTTATGGCCGCTTGAATTTAGTTGTTGTGCTAATTTTTTACCAATATTGACAAAGTATTCATTAATATAGTTGATTGATTGCAATGGTGATGATTTTATATTTAATAACTCTGTATTTTGATCCTTAGATTTATTGCAGTATGTTATGTTTTTAATATTCTTCCAAAGTAATTTATTATTTGAAACCGATTTTGCAAGTAATTCTCGTTCATATTTACGCTTTAGATGTTTTAAAAGATTATTACAGTAATTCCTATACCTTTTATACGTTATCTTAAGTATTTCATCGTGTGGGTCTTTTCTTGCTTGTTTTTGTAAATTATTTCGATTTTTAATGCAACGTAAAATACCAGTTGTTATCCAAGGTTTTATGACCCGTTTGTTGCTAGGAATAACTCTAATTTCAGTACACGTTTTCAATGAATCAGTTATTCGTTGTATAAGTTGACTTATTAATAAATTTGGATCCTCACAAAACAGTAATTCTTGCAAATTTTGGTCACGTAGATGCTTAAGAGCTTTTTCAAAATCTATAGAATTCTTTGTTTTATTTATTCTTATATTGCTCTTTAACTTAGATAATGATAAAAATGTAGTAAAATGATCTGTGATAGATGTTTGTATAATTGCTATAAAAGCTGATACTTTCTTTCTATTAATTTTTAACATAAAATGATCCAAACAATTTTTTTCTCTGGTGGGTAAACAATGTCCAGGAAGTATACCATGTGTTGAAAGCATATTTAGGTAGTTTGCCCTATTTTTAAACTCATTAGGAAGTTCTACAGATTTTGTTTTTATATTAATATTAATATCTCCTGCAATTATAACGTTATTCTGGGTATTTAATGTACTTAAGTGGGTATCAAGTGAATCAATAAAAATATCAGTGTTAGTGTTAGATGGAGAACGATATATACATAATATGGTATTATTGAGTAGATCTAGCTGTAGACAAGAAGCCTGTGATATTTGTATTTCCTTAACTTTAGGTTGTAACGTATTTTTGACATAAACCACTACTCCATCATTTTGATTCACCTGATATTTTGTAGCATAAGAGCAATAGTTATTAAGTTGGGGAATAGGTTTATTTACATTTAATCGACATTCAGTTAAAATTATTATATCTGTAAAATATATTAATATAAATATATTTTATATTATTAGTATAAATTCCGTAAAAACTAGTATTATTTCAATAAACCGTAGGAGAAGACTGGTTCACGTACAAAGCACACTTGGGCTTCCTCTGTCTCTTCATCAGGGATTAAAAACTTAAAATTACTTACTTACTTATCTTCACGCACAATCCCTAACGGGGTAGCCAGAGAGAACAGATCGCCAAGTGTCACGATCCTTACATACCTCTTTCGCTTAAACAGGATAAAACCTCAACAATTAGTTTTATTTGATAAATAGTTACTTTAATGTTCAATGTTCACATATTCCACCATAGAATACTATAATACATACATAATAGAACGGGGGAGTGGGCCGAGCCCGTGTAGCCACTAAAATCTCACTAACATGTCGATTCACACGTATAAATGTCAACACGAGATGTGTTTTGACGTTACAATCGTTTCCAAATTTCGCATGCAAATTATTTAGAAAATGCCAAATTGCACACTATTTACAAATAAATATGTATTAAAATTTAAACGATTTTTTTAATGATGATCTTGAACATTAATCAAAAGTCTAAAATGTTTAAATTTACTCAGTCTGTCAACACAGCGAATCGGGATTGTAGTAGTGATAATACGACGTAATTGCTTGTAAGTGTGCTCCCGGCGACGCCGATCCTCGTAGAAAATAAGGTTGACAGTCATTCTATTGTGTATTATAGTATTCTATGTATTCCACTCACCTCACAAACAGGTCCCAGGCCGGCGTGTTTGACCGCCTTGTGCAAACGCAAGCTCCCCCCTCTGCATCTCCTTGTGACACACGTCGCACTCTGTCAACTTCTTACCCTGCAGAGAAGAATGGCCATTTTTTACGAAGAAAAGAAAAAAAGAAGAAGGTCAAGAAATTGAGAACATTGTCAATGTTGTTGTCCTTTGGTTATTTACAAAAACACCTGAGTTAATTCCTTGTCTGCAAATGCGGAAAAAGGACATGATTAGGGAAAGGGTAAGAGTGATAATTCCCCTACTATTTACTGATGTGTCCTGATCTGAAGTGTGTCATCATCATCATTCGCAAGTCCACTGCTGAACATAGGCCTCCCCCAATGAATACCACAAAGCATGGTCCTGAGCCACCTGCATCCATCGACTCCTGCATGTCTTACCAGGTCATTTCTCCATCTAATGGGATCACCCTACCCTACGACTACAAGTACGAGGCTGCCACTCGAGAACCTTTTTTCTCCATCCGTTGTCGGTTCTTCTAGCTATATGGCCTGCCCATTGCCACTTCAGCTTACTAATCCGTTGGGCTATGTCGGTCACTCTAGTTCTACTGCGGACATCCTCATTTCTAAGTTTATCAGGCAGAGAAACACCGAGCATAGCCCTCTCCATAGCTCGCTGTGTGACTTTGAGTGTCCTCATACGGGAGCAGTGAAGGACCACGTCTTAGATCCATACGTCATCACTGGCAACACGCACTGGTTGTACAACTTAGTTTTCAGGTTTTGAGAATTACCTGATGAGAAGACGTGTCGTAATTTCCCGACCGCTGCCCCGCAGAGTTGAATCCATGACCTCGTACTCGAAGTTGGACTTACCAAGTTGGACTATCTGTCCCAGGTAAACATACTTGTCAACAACTTCGAGCTTAGTGCGTGCTCCCAACAACTACTATCTAACTGAAGTTTGCAAGGAGTCAGAATCATAACAGGCTATGAGGCGTTCCATCTTAGTTGTCAGAACTGAATGTGCATCAGGCTACAGAGTCCATGGGCTTCAGTAGTCACTTAGTCTCAAATGGACTGTAATTTTTTTCTTACTTTACAATCGACTTCAAAAAACGAAGAGGTTCTCAATTTGACTGTATTTTGTTTATTTGTGTTATCACAGAACTTTTTTCTAGGTGAATCGATTTTGATGATTCATTCTATATTTGAAATCTGGTGCTTCTCATGTGGTCCCATAAAGATTTGATCAAGATCTGCCCAGTAGTTTTTGAGTTATCCTTAATAATGAGTTTTTAATTAACTTTACATTGATGTTCTGATTTCATTTATATTGAAGTCGGTTGTACAAATTTTTCAATTTCATCACTTGTTTCTCATACTAACACATTACTACCACAACTAGAATTTTTTCCAGTATCAAGGAGGCAGTATACAAACATAAATTTTATAAGGACAAACATCCAGGCATGGAACAGTTATTTAGGAGCCATACAAATACTTGTTGTGTACATGTGGGATTCGAATCCGCCGCACCTTAAGCGCAACAACTCATTGCTAAGACACTGCGCCGAAATTTGTTTAAATCTTTACTTTTATAAAAACGAGTGATAAAATAAAAAAAAATTGTACAACCGACTTCAATACAATCGCATCAATGTATTCAAAGTCAACTAAGTATGCAATATTTAAGGATACTCAAAAACTTGATGAAATTTATGTAAGACTACGCGATAAGTACCAGCTTTCATATTAAAAAAAAAATAAAAAAAAACAGAAAAATTGATACTTTTTGAAGTTGGTAGAAACATGAAGTTCTACACAGTATATAAACTTACCGATTCATATCTTTTCCATTTCTTCTTAGCAGAACAAGTTAAGACATGTTTCATCAGTGTTTGGTTGCTGTCGAATTGTACTTTACAGTGCTGGAAATATAATAAATGAGAACATAACATTTATGAAATAAGATATACATTTTTTGTTGTTTGTAATTTATAAGTTTCTCATTGTTGTAACTTTTAGGTTTTAATGCAATTTAGAGCTTTATCTATCTAGTAACCATCTAAATATAAAAATATAATGATAAGAAATATAGTGCTTTCTCATATAATCAATTTAATCATATAAAATTATGTCAAACGCTAATTTATATCTATACTAGTGTTGTGTAGTTCGCGAACAATAAGCAATTAGGAAAAATATCTTAGAACTGTACTAGAAAAATCATTTCCGAAAGCTAATAAAAAGAAAACTCAATAACTGATTTTGACCTGACTCGAGATTCGAACCGGGGACTTCATAATCAACAGTCGCACTTACGACCACCAGATCAATGAGGCAGAAAGAAAACTATATAGTGAACTAGCTATCTGCCCTGGCTTCGTATGGGTGATTTCTGGATTTCAACAACAGTGCCACATACTGAATCCAATTTAAATTCCACTCAAGTCACTCAAACACAAAAAATTTAAACTAAATCAGTTCTGCCATTTATAAGTAGTTCAAGGACAAACACATATATATAGAAGAATTATATATATATAAAGATAGTTACTGCGCATATTTTTAAATCTGGGCCGTGCATCTTCAATTGATGTTTTTGTAATCTTTCTTTCAATACAAATTTATCACACAGCTCACACTTGACCTTCCTCTCGTCAGCTCCCGGATGACACTTGTTCATATGCACAGCTATACTCCGTATTGATAGATTCTTTTGACATATCCTGCATGTCACACGTTTCTGTCTTAATTGCAGTTCAGTATTATTTTTTGTTTCTGTATTACCTTTTTCAATATGATGTTGAGTGCTATTTTTTATTAAATCTTTTGTGCTATCTTGACAGTTAACAGTTTTTTCATCAAGAATATTTAAAGCATCTGAGATTTCTAAGTCATCATTACTTTCATTTTTTATTGATAATTCAGAGTGTTTCTTAACTGTATTTTCGCAGACATCAAGCTTAAAGTCTTCAAATGAATTTACCGTTCCTGTCATAGACTTTAATAACTTCTCATCTTTATCATTTGTTTCATCATTCTCTTGTTTAATCTCCACATCTTCATCTAGAAATGTTTCAAATTTAAATTCAGTTTCTAGTTGTCTTTCTGTAACTTTTTCATGTACTTCATTTTTAATTCTTAATAATTGACCTTCTGTACTTATACATAGCTCTCGAAATTTAATGGCGTCATTGAGGGAGCTCACACAGTCCAAGCATACGTTCTGTGGGAAGCCGTCGTTGTATTCGACCTAAAAAAGTAATATAATAACTTTTTATATGTGGTAGAGCCATGCTGCAGTATTAGTAGTATAGTAACAGCACGAATGTATATGTAATAGTATAGTAATAGCACGTATGTAATAGTATAGTAACAGCACGAATGGGTCGGCTGGACCAGAGAAGGACCATGCTTTTACAGAATACCAACGTAAAATAGGACCTTAATGCTCTTATGTTTCGTATGGTGAGTGCAGAAAACCGGAGACCCTTTTTACTGGAAACGAGGCATTCCATCTTAGTCCTTACGGGTGACAATGCATCTGCATTTTGATTTATAATCAAGGATAGATGTAGATGTGTGTGAGCCACAGCAACCACTTACCATCAGGTGGACTGTGTGCCCGTTTGTCACCCTATCCTAAAAAAAACTAAATGACATATGTGCTGAGTAGTAACAGTGTACTGGCGGTGTTAGAATATCCACTAGCCCACACCATACTGTTGGTGTCATAAGATGCAACAGTGAGAAACTGAAACAGCAAGTAGCGGCATCTTCCTGATAACAACTCTAAATTATAAAGAAAACGGTAGCTGCCAACCCTGGCAACTTGCCAAGCCTGGCAATCTATGGGGGAAGTTTATGTTCAGCAGTGGACTTTTATAGACTATAGTGTATAGAATGGACGGGATAATACTACGTAAATACTAATTACTTAGTGTAGAGAATACCCATTATGCTACATTGGGACTGGAATGATTTCCCCACTATGTAGTCTCAGTGAAAGATGTTTTTTATAGAATAAGGGTGACAAATGAGCCCACAGTCCACCTGATGGTAAGTGGATTCTATGACCCATAGACATTTACATTTATCGTCAACAAAGAATCAAAATGCAGATATGTTATCATTATAAAAGGGGTCTCTGGTAATCTACACTCACCATATAAAACAGAAGCATTGAGCTGCTATTTTATGCTTGTATTTTTGTGTTGGCCAAGTGAGTCTTTGTCTCAATATAGGTCTTACACATAGGAAGGTGTTGGGGTTTGTCAGATGGTGCTAAGTGGTGAGTTTGATGGATACATAAGCATGCAGATTGTAATTTATTTATATTGCTTGTTGGATAACTACATTGGCTATATGGATTACTATTAAATCTCCAAGCCAAATAAGTTCACTGCTGAATAACCCACACCCCCCAAAGATTGATTCTTAGGGGCATTTATTGCCATAGCTGGCAGTAGTCAGTGCTTCAATCACAACATAGCTGCAGCATGGCTCTACCACATATAAAAAATTGTCACCAAATTGCTTAATGTTATGCCAGAAATAAATTCTCCAACTGATAATGTGGAGTAGTGTGAAAGTTGCAAGAGAACCTTGTATTATGATTACCAATCTACAGAACAAGGTCAATGTTGCGAAGTAACTTTTTCAGGTTTTTCAACATGGTAGTGCCACATGGCAGTTATATTATCGTTGTAGCACAAAACCTTCAGCTGGACTGTGAAAGAACCCCTATCTCACTGAATACCAATGTGTAATATATAAAAAAAAAAAATTGCTGTTCAGTACTGGAGACCCTTTTACTGGTTACTTTCTTAATAATAATACTGCTGTATTTCAATATTGAGTGTACAGAACTGGAGATCCTTTTACAGGTTACTTTCTTAGTCATCAGGAGTGACAATGTATCCACATTTTTTGATTTTTGAACCCACTTCAAAGGAGGTATTCAATTTGACTGTATGTTTGTTTTATGTGTGTTGCCTCAGAACTTTTTTCTGAGTGAACCGATTTTGATAATTCTTTTTTTTATCTGAAAGCTGGTGCTTTTTGTGTATTTATATATAAATTTGATCAAGATCTGACTAGAAGTTTTTGAGGTATTCTTAAATAATGCATATTTAATTGACTTCGAATACATTGATGATGTTCTCATTTTGTTTAAATATTGTAGGTGGTTGTACAAAATTTTTAATTTTAACTCTTGTAATCAAGGATAGATGTAGGTGTCCATAGGCTAAAGCATTCACCACCTGATGGAAAGTTGTTGCTGTGGCCCATAGACATCTACATCTATCCTCGTTAACGAATCAAAATGCAGATGCGTTGTCACTCGTGAGGACTAAGATGGAATGCCTAGTTTCCAGTAAAAAGGGTCTCGGGTTCTCTACACTCATCATACGAAACACAGCAGCATTAAGCAATTATTTTACACTGGTATTCTGTGAGAGTGTGGTCCTTTCCCGGTCGAGTCGACTCATTCATGCTACAACTTTACTACTAATATAACTGCAGCACGGCTCTACCACTGTGTGCTCGTTTCTTACACTTATTCTATAAAGAAAAAATTGGTTGATAGAGAAGATGTTAAGTGAATGTATGTATTTTCTCAATACAAAGTCCATATCTTTATAAAATCAACATTATTCTAACCATGGTGTAATTATCGACAATCAAGCCCTTAGGCATGACGTATATGAAGTTTATAATAAAAACAAATGCACTTTTTGTAATACCTTAACACCAGAAATTAAGTAAATTTCTTTCGAGTATCGATCGTTTAAATTCGTAAATAATGGGTTTAGGGTCGTTTTCCCCAAACAAGTCCGACAAACGGTTTCAAACTCCATTTAAAAATAATTACAATATAATATATTATTATGTATGGTCACCGACCACATTAAATTGCATAAATGAAGAAGTTTTTTTACTATCACTTGCTAGAACCAGCAGCCACAGGTCAAATCTTATCAAAATTCACATATTTCTGTGAGTCAAAAGTCAAAACCAAAAAATTAAAAAAATCGCAGTGATTACACACTCTTCGAGTCACAGAACATTAAATCTCATCTCTACCGAGACGTCGACTACTTATTATATAGTACTCTTTGCGTCGACTTTAACTAATGTACTCTGTGACTTTAACCAAAACCTTACAATTTATCAATTTATTTATTTGTGTTTATCATACATACTATAACTACATATTATGATTTCTATTTATTTCTATTGTTGTACTTGATTTTATTTATTACCTGGCTTTACGGCTCTGGGTTCTAGCCCTTCTGAGCCCACCATTTCTTTCGCAATCTTCATTTTTATATTCTTTTTCTTCAATCTGCTGATGCGTCACATTGCGAAGCCTTTGGGAGTTTTTGGTGACAGCTCAACTCAGCGGACAGTTGATGACGACAGCCACTCAAGTTCATGAGGCGCCCAAGCGATCGAAATAATTTGATGGTTCGATGTTTTGACAAATACTTATTGTATTCGATATATCGATATACTTATAGATTCGTTCGATCGTCTATAATATACACATACATATATATACATACATACATATATATATATATATATATATATATATATATATATATATATATATATATATATATATATATATATATATATTACAGACGATTCTTTTATTGATAATGTGGGTAATTATTTGCACACGAAACTCTACAAATTGTTTAAATATGTGCCATATAAATGCGCAAAGCATCCCTGCCCATTATTAAGATCTACTTGACACATTTACCTCACCATACATCCATGCTCTATTTATCTCATAGTCCTGGCTAAAACCCTCCCTATCCTCCACGTTGTACAGTGGATTTGTACTTATACGCTCTGATCGTACTGGCAAGGGTAGGGGTGTCGTAGCCATTTACTTGCGATCGAAATATGCATATGTTGCCATTGCAATATCACCATCAGAATATAGAAGATCTGCTAAGTACCTATTTCTAGAAGTAAAATTAAGGGTTTGAGAGTCGTGCTCGGATTTGTTTCCTGCCCTCCTTCAACTGATTATTTTTCCCATATTGAATCGGTGATCGACTCGGTGATTTCAACACCAATTTGCTAATGGATTCCCCTCAAAGTCGCAAACTCAAACCCTCATGGACTCGGCAGATCTCTATATTCTATCATCTGGTCCAACACACCACAACGTGGACACCGAAGATTCATGGTTAGACATTATTTGCACTAGTTCAGCGGATCATGTTATATATCATGATCAACTGGCTGTTCCCGCGTATTCTCGACACGATATTTTGATCATGTCGTATAAATTATAGCCTCCCAAGCCAAAGCCAGTGATTGTGTATTTTTTTTATTTTTTATAGAAGAGGGGGCAAACGAGCATACGGCTCACCTGATGTTAAGTGAATACAGCCGCCCATGATCAACTGCAACGCCAGGGAAATTGCAGATACGTTGCCGGCCCTTTAGAAAGGATTAAGCTCTTTTCTTGAAGGTCCCTAGGTCATATCTAACCGGAAAAATCGCCGGTGGTAAACTATTACACAGAGAGGTCGTACGCGGAAGAAAACTCCTTGTGAAACGTACGAGTGGTAAACCACCAAACATCCATAATGTGCATGGTATCGGGATGTTTGCCGCGTAGCGCGTTCACGAAATTTGGCGGCTGGGATTAATCCGAACAATTGCTCAGAGCATTCCCGGTGATATATGCGAAAGAAAATGCAAAGAGATGCAACATCTCTTCGCAGCGCCAGTAAATCGAGCCGATCGGAAAGCACTCGGTCGTCGACGATTCGAGCCGCTCTGCGCTGGATGTGGTCAAGGGGAAGGAGCTGGCACTGGGGAGCCACAGCCCAAAGTTGGGAATGGTATTCCATGTGCGGCCGAACCTGCGCCTTGTAAAGTTACAGGCGGTGTGCCGGCATGAAATACTGTCCCACTCTGCTGAGCAAGCCAAAAATTTTTAGAGGCCAATTTGGCCTTCTCTTCCAAGTGCCCACGAAACTGCACGTCACTCGATAAGTCGACGCCGAGGATTCCGATACAAATTGAGGCAACAAGGGGAGTGCCTTAAAACAGGAGATACGACAAAGGGGTTCTTCTAACAGTTAACGCGCAAAATTGTGTCTTTTGAGGGTTAAACTGGACTAGATTTAGTCGCCCCCAATCGGAGACTTTGTTCAGCAAAGACTCGACTTCAGACACAAGTTTGTCCCGGTACTCGGAGATTTTTTCCCGAGAAATGTTGGCACGGCCGGTGTACAGAGCATCACCAGTGCTGTCATCTGCGTAGCAATGAATGTTACGGGTTTGCAACATATTGTTACGATGCTTAAGGTTCTTGGCAGTAAAAACTGCCGATTGAATTACTAAAATTGACACTTTAATTCCGAACCCCAATTAAAACTTTAAAAACACTAATAATTAATCACACTTAATCCTTTAGTTCACTTTATTTCGCGGCTTGTAAGGGCTTTTTATAGGCCTTTTCCACCGAAACATCCAGAATATTCCAACAAATACCAGCCCCGACCGACCAGGTGCAGAAAGTTCGAGTGTGGGGCTTTCTAGAAAGCTTAGTTCTTCTATTCGATACAAGACGGCTCTGTTGGTGGAAAGTTCAGTAATGACATTTTCTAGAAAGCTCTCCTCGCTCTGTTCCCCGACATTAGATGGCGCTAGTGCCAGGTTCCAGACATCAACTAAGGCGCGCAACAATATAATTGATATGCAGAAGAAACAGCGTTGGCGATAGCACGTAGCCTTGTGGAACGCCAGCATTAATAGGCTTGTAATCGGAGCTTGCGTCGTCTGCAACGACCTTGATGCTCCGATCTGCAAGAAAGCTGGTGATCCAGTTGCACAATTTCTCGGGAAGCTCATAGGAAGGCAGCTTCGAAAGAAGCGCTTTTTTGCCAAACCCGATCGAAGGCTTTATGATTTATGCTTTTATTGATAGGTATTATTTTATGCTTTTATTGATATTTTATTGATTTATGCTTTATGATTAAGGCAATGTTCAAACTAACGGCCAATGCCTTCCCCTTGAACTCTACTGCCTCCGCCCATCTATGAGCTAGGTAGACCAGAAGATCACGAGCTGATCGACAACGACGAAAACCGTATTGGCGATCACTAATCAGCTGGTGATCCTCAAGGTACCTCATGAGCTGGCAGTTTACAATGGACTTCATTGTTTTGGAGAACAAGGAGGTGATGGCAATAGGCCTGTAGTTGGACGGGTCTGAGCGGTCACCTTTTTTTAGGGATCGGGTAGACGAAAGCCGTCTTACATGATTTTGGGACTACGCCTAGGGAGTAGGAGTCCCGGAAAAGATGCATTAAAACCGGTGCCAACTCTGAAGCACACGTCCTCAGCACAATTGGGGGGATTCCGTCAGACTCACTCGACTTGTGGATGTCCAGGGAAGAGAGTCCTTTGCGAATCGAGCGCTGTGTGAACTGCCCCTCCGGAATGGAGCACTCACACCGCGGGATGGTCGGCGGCGTCCGTCATCCGTTGCCTGTATGCTGTCGAATCTGTTGACAATTGCAGCCTCATCTCCTGTCTACCAGCCATGAGATTAAGAGTGTGACCGGAGAATTTTTGTGTTTTTCTGCAGCGGGTCTTGCAGAACTTAGCTCCGACCGCATGGACAGTTTCCACGAGCTTGTCATTTATATCGTCCACTGCATTGCAATCTTCTAGGCACTGAAAGCGGTTACGTAACTCGAGCTGAAAGGTTTCGGGATTCTGGATTAGAGCACGAGGGGGACGGAGCGTTGACTTCATTAGACGAGACCTCTCCAACTTAACGTTTAGGTTTAAGTGTGCCTCTAACTATTCGGTGATCGCTGCCAGTTTTCACCCTGCGATCACTGAGACATCACTGAACAGTTGGCGTCTGGTCGTCATAATGAAGTCAATCTCATTTTTTGTCGAACCGTCGGGGTTCGACCTGGTCCACTTTCTGTGGGGCCACTTCTGGAAGAAAGAGTTCATTATAAAATGTCCCTCTTTCTCCATGAAGTTGGCCAACTGCTGGCCCCTTGGATTCGGTTGCCTTATCCCAAATTTCCCTACCTTCAGCTTACCGTTCTTTCTTGTGTCCAGTTTTGCGTTGAAGTCTCCCATTAACACCGTATAGTGAGTTTTGGAGGAATGCATGGTTCTAAAAATATCCTCATACATTTCCTCCACATCCCCATCGGGATGTTCCGACGTTGGCGCGTAAACCTGTATGACCTTCAGCGAATACCGTTTGGTGATTCTGAGTATGAGGTACGCAACCCTCGTCGATACACTCCCAATCTTTACAACGTTGTTAACGAGATACTTGTGGAAGATAAATCCAACACCTCCTTGGGACAGATGTTCGCACTCCCAGTGATACAACAAGTTGCCGGATTCGAGAATCAACGTGTCCTCCCCTTCTCTTCGGACCTCGGATAATCCTATAATATTCCAGCGCAACTTGTCTATTTCTTCTTCCAGCTCCAGGATCTTCTCGTCAGTCCTCAGGGTATGTGCGTTATATGTTGCCAGGTTGTGTCGTCGCAGGTGGCAACCGAACCTCCACCGGAGATTCTTAGCACCCCCCTGTCCTGCCGTTACCATGGTCGCCACCGTACCCAGGAATAGCGGGGCCGCCGGGGACTGGGGGCCGTTTGTTTGCGCCGTAACTCATGGGTATATTGCCATATTTGCCACGCTTGACGAGCGGGTTGGCAACCGCAGTTTTTTTGTTGTCGTACAGTTGCTGTTATCAGGTAGATGCTGCTGCCCATCTCCTGCCTGTGTCCCTCGGTCGCCTTTTACGACGAAGAAGGTAGGAAGATATATTTGGAAGATATG